CTGGTTTCGATTGACGATTTAACCCGCGCTATTTTCACTCGAAAAGACTTATTCATGCTTGTGATTTAGTTGGTCTATAATTGTTTGTAGGATTTGCTGGACCACAATAAAGTTTATGCTTGATTGTGTAGTACAATTTTATATTTTAGAGAATTAAGATGTTTTTATAGAAAACGTCCGACTTTAATATTAATCGTGTATTATCTAAAGCTGGTTTGATGAATTGGATTGAGTAAATTTTCAAGAAAATGTATGAGAAGTTGCATAAGCCTAAATATAATAGATATAATTTATTATTTCTTCATTTTTAGGTCGAAAGAATACATAAAATTAATGAGTAAAACTGGTTTTCTATCAATAAATCTATCAAATAGTCATTGCTGAATATTTAAGGGATGTTGAATCAGTATAACTGACGACACTATGATTAAACAGAATATGCACCTAGTCACAGTCATGCTGACTGGTCATTATCAAGTACGAAAGCTTCTCCATATCGTGGGGCTGTCAGAAGAAGATGAGACTATCGAGCATATCCTCCATGATTGCTCGACGTTCCCATTTAAAAATGTGCGCTGGATTGCTTACTTATTAATGTCCATGTTTGGAGAGAATACTTTTGATAGTGTTTGCGTTAGTTTGAGTAGTACAAATAAATGTACGGTCAAGCTATAGTTGTTAGAAAATCGCGGTTTTACTACCTTTAAACATTTTTGGTTCTCTATTTCCCAATCCAGAGGTATCTGTTCATACTTTCTTACTATTTTTTTGTTGATAAAGGACGACTGCGATCCAGAATCAACTAGCACTTGTAAAAGTTGAAACATTCTATTAGAAGTTTGTATCTTTACCATAGCCTATTTGTGTTGATGTAAAAACAGGTTCACTGGTCTGGGTCTCGCAACTCTGGCATGTTCTGCAAACCTTGGCTGTCCTTTTCTGTCTTTATACAGCACGTTGTGATGGGATATATCACCGAGGCGACATTTTTCTTTTAAATCATGTGTCAAACAATTGTAACATACTCGATTGTTTCTGAGAAATTGGTTTCTATCAGCAATAATACACGTAGTCTTGGCTTTTTGGCATTTAATCATTCTGGGATAACTCATTTGGCTTCTGAACGATACCAGATTTTTCTAGCGATTGGAAACATCTTTCAATGACATCTTCAATATATGGTATCTCATTTGGTTTGGTTATGCTTTGATCCTAGATTCTGTTAATGTCTGAATATCATTTTCGCCTTATATGTGTTAGTATTATAGGTATTTAAATAAATGGAATTTTAATACTTCGAAACACGTTATTTTTAATACTAATAATATTACCCAATCAGCATTCATATCAATAACCTTCTCAGCTCAATTGCGAATAAAATATCACATCAATTCTATTAAATCCCAATATGCTTTCTTTCAAAATCAAACACCATAATGTTCCCATCGATATCATTGTAAAAACCGAAGTCATGCATGAACTTGCGTTTAATTCTCCCTTTTTCAATGATTAACTAATTGAAGTGTGATCTTTTTGCTAGCGAATTTTGCTTTCTGGAGGTCTCGGCGGGTGTCGCTGAGCATTCGTCCGCAAGAGTGACCTTTTAGGTCGTCGTGGGAACCTGAAATAACTGGCTGCATTTTAGAAATATACTACTTATTGCAGTAAGAAAATTATTAGTGATATAATAAATCATTTTAAAAACTGAAGTAAAATTAATAAAAAAAAAACAATTCATATAATATAAATTGAATAGTTTTAAAAAAAAATTGTAGGCAACTTTTTTAAACACAATATTTCCTATTATTTCTAGTAGTTTTCTGTGATGAACTTTCTTAATTTCTCATTTAAGGTTTTTTCGTGAAAGCTTTACTGTTTATTAGAGAGTAACCCGTATTTATTTTTTTCAATAAAAACAATAAGAAAAAGATAAATAGGATGAATATATAATAGAAGATTACTATATAAATTAAACTTTCACCAGAGATTTAATCGATTTTGCAGCACACTTTATCGCGAATATATGTGCCTAAAAAACGGGCATATTCCAAGAGCAATTCGAAAACAAAAGACCATTTTAATAAGGATCAAATTTAAGTTGAGCCTTTATTTGCCAGCTGGATCTGTTTTAAAGCCACTTATATTTTTAATATGGGCTCCCGTAATAATTCGTAACGAATCCATAAAGCTCTCGGTAAATATGGAGAAATTCTAAACTCTTCACGGAAATCAATACAAAACTTTTAATTCGAAATAGGACCATGTAAAAGATTTATTCGTTTTTTGGTATCCATTCAATTTAACGTACATTCTTTCAGAATTCCGATGAATACCTCATCTGTAAATACTATTTTTACTTAGTACTTAGTTTTTACTTTGATATTCACATAAATCAATTAAAAAATAAAATTTATAAAAATGGGTTATAATATTTTTAAAATTATTCTTCCACATGATGAAAAACGTATTAGAAATCAATAAAGGCGGTAAATATCTATTTGTCGTTATTGAAACCGTATCTCGTTACATGCAACGTCCAGGTGGTGTGGTGCGGTAAACATCACAAAACTGCCAAGAAAATACCAAACAACACATTCAGATGGAATTACATGTTATTAACTATAGGTAATATGAGAAAAGGTGTAAGTTATATGCTATACAACTTTACCGCTGTGAATAATAATACCCAGTCATTCATACGTTTCTATTCATTCTACAGTAGCAAATTTGTATTGATACATATCTTTTAAATGGGTGGCTATGCAATAAAGCATTTACAATATGAGAAACTCTGTGCCCTTTTGTCGTTTTGAAGATCTCCAAAAAAATCTAGAAATTGCATATCATAATAATGTGCCTGTAGAGTTTTGTATATTTTATATTTATTTTTGTTTCAATGAATACCGAAAAAGAATGAATATTTTGTTCAATATTTTACATAGCTCTATTTCGAATTAAAAGTTTTGTATTGATTTTTGTGAAGAGTTTAGAATTTCTCCATATTTACCGAGAGCTTATGGATTCGTTACTTAAATTTGATCCTTATTAAAATGGTCTTTTGTTTTCAAATTGCTCTTGGAATATGCCCGTTTTTTAGGCACATATACATTCGCGATAAAGTGTGCTGCAAAATCGATTAAAACTCAGACGAAAGTTTAAATTGTAGTAATCTTCTTTTATTATGTATTCATCCTATTTATCATTATCTTATTGTTCTTATTGAAAAAAATTAATACGGGTTACTCTCTGACAAACAATAGGGCTTTCACGAAAAAATCTCAAAGTCATATGCGACTGAGCTTCAAAAAGTTCATCTATAGCTCAATAGATCTATATCATCTTCTCGCAAAAGCATTTGATACAGTTGATCACAGAAAACTACTAAAAACATTAGAATATTTTGTGTTTAGAGGAGTTGCCTACAAATGGGGCATGTTCTCAAATTTTGATTCTACTAAAAAAAAAAAACAGAAAACAAAAAATGTCTTCTAAAAAGTTAACTGGAAAATAACCTTCTACTAGAGGCGTTTTTCATCTCTATTTAATGAAAATACACCGGATCTTCAAGGTGCAGTAGCAATTTCTGACATTGCCCCCTTCAGGAAATTTAAAACCACTTCTGCAAAACCTCCCTTGGAACCTCCTCAAAGTTTTAAAGATAGTGAAGTTTTGTCTGAATCAAAAGAAACATCTTTAATAATTGATTCAGAGCAGGATCTTTAAATTAAAAAAAATGTTTTTAAATACAGTCCAGTCAGTACAATGAATTTAATTTAATTTTTTTTTAGTAAGGGAATGCTTTATGTATTTCTTCCGGTAGTTTTGACATCAAATCTTTATGATTTATGATGCGCCCTAGAAATGATACATATTTGGAATAGTCATAAAGTTTGTTATGAATAGTCCACCTGCAGCTTCTAATACGCCACATATATCCTATTTTTTACAACCACGACTGGCATACACATATGCATGAACTCTACCTTCTAAAACAACCACTACCTTGTTCCCAGCACCACCAACGTTAATTATTTCATCCAGATTCAATGCATTTAAGACTCTATTAACCATTTCATCTCTATAGGATCTGAATGTTGTAATAATAAACTTATCAGAAGGTGATTTTCCTGAATAACACAAGCCCTAACAATAATGGAGATGCACAAATTAAAATTTCCTCTAAAAATTCAGTATCAAATTCAACTTGTTATCGAGAGAAACAATGTAAAATACTTTGTGTAAATTATTTACTGTGTAAATATCTCCTTTTCTCAAGTTATTCATGAAAAATCGCATTAACTCCATATACTTGTTTGGCAGATCTAAAAATAATAAAGTATTTTCAAGAGTACATATTTATAAATTCCTCAAATTAGATATTGACCATTGCTGCTTCAAGGTACAGATATAACGACCCAATGTCTAATGTTTATGGATATCAGTGTACACTAATATATTATAAGAAAAATATAAATAAATGAGGTAAAGGGTAAATTATTTATTTTTGAAAAACTGTTACTGTTCCACAATCCTGATGACCTGAGATAAATATGTTTTTACTGTAAGGTGTATTGCTCCATATAAACTGTAACCACTATTATAATAAATTATAAATAAAGTGTTTTAATTTTTAAAAACTTTCTACTATAGTAATCGGTTTTTTTTATGTGTAAGCATCCTCCATAGGCTTACAAAACCTATAATAAACTAAGATTATTTTTAAGAGTTAAAGGTCCTCAGTAATTTCCACTGCACCAACAAATAAAAAGTCAAATACGTATACAACAAGTAATATTTATTTAAATAAACAAATTAAATCTAAATTATAAAGATCCATATAAATTCTATAAATAAATAACAAAAGGATTTTAAAATAATACTGTTTTCTAACTACCACTAACTAACAAATACAGATATTTATAAAGTTTTATTGCCTATGCATTCATTTTTGTCTTATGATCATCATTTTTGGTTTAAATGAATTTATAGACTAATTTAAAAATAATAATAATAATATTAACCTTTGGTTTTAGTAACTAGAATTCTTATACACCTAGCTGCTATGTTAATTAAAATATAACAATTTAGAGGTAATCACTCATTACAAAATATAAATAGGTTGTGCAAAACAAAGTTGGTTGATTTATTTCTGCTTTTTAACATGTCCTATCATTCCTTGTTAATATTAAATTAAATTCTGTAGGCATGTGTTTACTATACAAAGTAAACTTGTAATGTCATTCTTACACCTTCATCAAGACCAGCTGATGAGATGAAGAATATTTCTCGATAAATTTATAAATACATTTATTGTAGAAAGTAAAAAATTCACGAATGTTTAAAAAATTTGCCATATATTTAACAAAATTATTATAACTCCGGTGTCTATCAGATTTAAATAAAATTAGTATCAATTAAAAGCAAATTGATTGCTTCGTAAAATATTTTAATATATTTCTGATTTAGTTGTTTAAACCAGCACTAGGTGGCGTTGTTTAAACATTAATTTTTTCGAAGTATACTTGGAAATTCAATTTGTATTACAAACACGCAAAGAAATTTCAAATAAAATTTGAATAAATTTAAAAATATTTTTAGATATACTACAGGGTGTTGTAGTTTTGCCTGGCAAAAAAAATTATTATTTAAACTGAGCACATTGTATTTAATTTTAATTTTAGAATGGTTAATTTTTTTATGAAATTAGGAAATGATGCAGACTCCAAATTAAATTATCATAATTTAGGTTGGTATACAATCATTTTAAAATTGTTCAAAATACAGACTCATGAAATATTAGGATAACTAATAGTGATGATAGAATTGGATTATTTTCTACAGGGTGTTTTGAAATTAATAACTATTTTTTTGTCTTCTGAGGTAATTTGAAGATTAAAATAGTAGATGCAGTACAATATATTTTTTCTATATTTGGTAAAACTTTCAGAAATGTCCATTCTAATAAATATGAAAATCTGAAATAGATAGGGTTACTATTTAAATTTGTAGAATGATTCAAAGTATCTCGAAGACGACATAGACGTAGACCACAATTCTTGAAATATTCACAAGACATTTTGGTGAGACCTTCAGAAAATGTGGATCAAATAAAAATGTTATTATAACTTTTTTCCTAATATTAATAATACCAGTTTTTTATATGTTGCAACTTACGTAGACAGTTGGTGCCGATTTAGACCAATAACAATTTAGAATCCCAACCAATCATTGAGCGATATTTCAATAAAATAGTCCCCTCCTTGATAAAAATGTCTGGTGCTTGGGAAAAAATAATCTTTTCAAATACCACTCGTCCTATATTTTTTTAGATTAAATTATTAATTTCCTCATTCAGACGGCTTTATTTTAGGCAAAACCACTCAAACTTTAGCAATCGTAAAAATTGTAAGGACTATCATAATATTCACAAACATTTTCCATATTATATAGTAGATAAGGTGGCAAAACATGAGAAGAAAACATTTATTATGTAGACTGTAACAAAAGTTTTATGGCAGCCCTTGTCATTGCTGTAAAGAGGCTCAAAAATCATAAATAAAATTATTCTGAATAATCATAAACATTAAAATAGATCTATTTGGCGACAGTTCAATCATCCCCAACATGGCGATAATAAAAATTTAGTCAACATTTAATATAATTTGATGTTGAAATGGACCAAAATTTCTGTAATTTTTTCATTGTCTACAATTAACGTATTTTACTATAATACACTGACAAAAATACTTTGTACAAAAATTATTTTTTCCTGTTTTGACAAATTGGCAACTAATTCTTTTCCCCTCATATTCCTAAAGCAAAAATGATGATCAACAACTTATTATACTATATACAAATTAAATATTATTGCCTTTCTTTCTACGAATTAGCATGCACTTTACGAGGCGACGATGGCGGTAACAAAATCTCCTGCGTCCTCGCCCTAAGGGCTTCCAAAGCCGAAGGTGACAACTGAGAAGGACTATGTAGTTCGGGACTAGAACTTCTTGATCGCTCATCTGGAATGGGATTGCTACTAAAGTTTATAGGCGGTACACCTCCAGCTAGAACGTATTGTGATAGAAAGGCGTGAAATGTTGGATGCATCGGTGCTTTGGGAGGCCAATGTATCCCTAATGCTGGATTGAACATTGGAGGGAATGGCATCGTAGGCCAGAAGTGATCGTTGTGCATTTGTGGAAGGGCGACTGGACCGTGGATGGTGAATTCGGGCATACCTTGATCACCGGGATGCATGAACGAGACTGCTTCTCTTCCCATGGCTTTTTCTCGTTTTCTCCATTTTGCCCGTCTGTTTTGGAACCACACCTGAAAGAATAAAAGGTTCTTGTTAATATAAAGCAGTCCAAAAACACATTATCTAGTGGGCAAACGAAATATATTCAAACTCACACTCCAAAATTACATTATTTAGTAGTCAAAAGATATATCTTTAGAAGCACAGTTCAAAAACACATTATGTAGTAGCCAAAAGAAATATCTTCAGATGTATAGTCCAAAAACACATTGTTTAGTGGCAAAAAGAATTATATTTAGGTGCACAATCCAAAAATATATTATATAGTGGCAATTCTATTAACATTTTATGTTAAAATAATTTTTATCGTCTTTTGTTTAAAATCAAATCGTTGATCGTTTCTTTTATTTTACGAGCTTTCCCGGGGGGACCTCTACCGCAGAGTAAGGATATAAATATTGTTATAAATAAGTTAGCTAAGCTAGATAATACTATCTTAATTTAAAATACATAATTCTCAAATAAACTATATAAAAATGTTATTTTGTAATGTTGTATTTATATTATTGTCACATACTTATTTTAATCTCTAAAATTCACGATGATTTGTGTGTATTTTTTATTTATTCGCCAAAATTTGGGATTTTTCTTCATTTTTACTAAAATTTATTATAAGAAATATGTTAATATTTTTATTTAAAAACAATAAAAAGAAATTGGAGAAATCAGAGATTGAAATAGGGACCTTTATATTTACAGTCTAACGCTTTCCCAATTGAGCTATGTTGCTAGGTATTTAAACTCTACAGAATGAACAATTTATATAGAACGTTATCAATTAAAATTTAAAAAAAATTATTACTATCTTAATTTGAAATAAATAATTTTTGACAAAAACTAGATAAAAATGTTATTTTGTAACTTATAGAAATACTAATTTAAAAATCTTAATTGATACTGGATCAACAATTAGTATTATATATACCGAATGTTTAAAATCAGATAATTTTATAGTTTATTCAAAGAAAATTCATATTTATGGAACCTCAAGATCCACAGTAACATCAGCTGTAGTAAACTTGACAAACAGTGTGGTAAAACCAGATAAAAATAATATAATACCTGTCAAAATTTCAAATATTACAAAAAAAAATGTAAATATAAAAGTTATTTTGTAACTTATAGAAATACAATAAAAATCTTACTTGATACTGGATCAAAAGTTAGTATTATATATACCGAATGTTTGAAATCAGATAATTTTATAGTTTATTCAAAGAACATTATTATTTATGGAACCTCAAGATCCACAGTAAAATCAGCTGTAGTAAACTTGATAAACAGTGTGGTAAAACCAGATAAAAATAATATGATACCTGTTAAAGTTTCAAATGTAAATATAAAAGTTAATATAAAAAAATTTGAATCAATAGTTGAAGCATTTCATAATTATGATATCGTTTAGTGTTGAAAAAAAATTTATCAGTTAATCATACAGAAAAGTTACTTAATTTAATTCATATGGAATATTTAAATTTGTTCAAAGTATTTAGATGTTTTTTTTATTAGATAGCGATAAAAGCTTTCCCGAAAAGACTTTTGTCTCAGAAAAATCGCAATGTCGTCTTTATTTTTAGAAATAAAGATTCAAAATTGAAAGATTTTTTTAATTTATGATTTAATTGTAAAAATAATATCGTAAGAAATAGGTTGAATTCAACTAATTAATTCATTCCATTGTTACATAACTGATTAATGCAAATCTCCAGGTACTCAAAATTAATAATACCTATTGCAATATTACCCTCATCGAGCTTTGACCGCCGCTTTGGTAAATCCGATTCGAAACATATTACACTGTTTTGATCGCGCACTAAGACGGTTTATAAAATGAATACGGTGCCCTACGAAACTTTTGTTACGTGTGTAGCGGAGCTTATCTAAATCGATGCTTAAAAGGGCAATTATAAAAGAGACAGCTTTCCATCATTTTAGTAGAGGCAGAGGCACTCTAAACGAGACATCAGAGAGAATTCTGGGGTCCGGAACCAGTTCCGATTACCTCTATTGTGGTGAACAATGGCCAATTGCAATGCTACTTACGCCCGGCTACAAGCCAGATTAATTATCCAAATTGTTACCAATTAAGACGCGATTCATGTCGGTCATTATCCAGGCATTATGGATATAATGACTCGGAATTGGTCATAGGGATAAAGCGTGCTATATGGGCACTAAATTTTAATTTACCAAGATATTCGGGGGGATTTTATACAACATTCATATTGTCGAGAATGAATGAAGTGTTAATTTAATTGTATATCCAGACTTTTTTCAATTTTTTCGAAACAACATTTGCTTGTGTTATTTTCTAATGAAATCTGCAGTTATTGTGCTTCAAATCCATTTTCTATTTGGTTAATATTTTGCAGCGTTTGATCTTTTAATAATCCCCGTATGTATTAAAAACTGCTGGCGCAATTATCTCGCCCTTAAACGATAAAAGAGACTTATAAGGTTGCAATCTGACTAAATAAAAAAAAAATTCACAGTGGAATAATGTTCCTAATTTTTTAATTATTTAATGCCTCATTAGAATAATTAAGATCCATTATTTTGGGCATTTAGAACTCTACAAAGTTTAATTACATAATAGCTACTACTCGACAGTCTGTTACAAAAGAATAATTAAAATACCTACGACCAATAGGCCAGTCAGTAACGACATTCTATTTTGAACATTTCATAATAATTATAAAAGTTTTCAATATACATTAAATGTTTTATTAAAATATATACATACAGCTCAGCTTTTTTTCACCAGATATTAACAAAAAGACAGAAATTCTTACAAATTCAATTGGCATTACATCGATGAGCAAGTAAATAATGCGTTACAACTGTCAAAATGATAGGAAGAGAAAATAAACTAAGTTACTTGTGAAAATCAGCGTCGTTCGTTCATAGGCTTATCGTCATTACCAATATTAATAATATCGTTAGTCATTGTCGAATATAATTTTCGTTCCTTTGTCGTTTGGAAATATAAAAATGAATAATCTCCCAATTCCTAAATTATTTGAAACCACTCATTACCGAATTCAATTTTAATTAATACAAAACAGTTTTATATAGGGCGTACCAAACTTAAAGGTATACAAGTGAAAATAAGGCAGAACATTCCTATAAACATAAGGAATTTTCATATATATTGGTACAGGTACTTTTTGCTTTATTATTATTAAATTAAATCAAATCCACAAAGCAAATAATATTTACCTGAACTCTAGCTTCACTGAGATCCAGTCTCATAGCCAATTCTTCCCTGGTAAAAACGTCTGGATATTGAGTTTTCTCAAAAGCTCTTTCTAATTGATGCAGTTGAAACGTTGTAAATGTTGTTCTAGATCTTCTGATTTTACGAGGTCTGGAATCTCCAGAGTCGTCTAAAGATTCTTCTACTAGTTCCCCTTCGCTGATTGAATCTCCTTTTAAATCAGCATCTATAAAGATTGAATAAGATTATTTTGATGGTTTTAGGTTATTTTTATTGATTACTTTGTTAAATATATTGTAAAGTATAAAAAATAGAATATAGTATTAGAGGAATTGAAAGTTTCACAGAAGGAATTAAAAATGTTGCGAAAATCATTAATAAAAGTAGAATAATAAATATTGTGGCAACCAGAATGAGTTTAGAACAATAATAAACCATAAACAATAGCAAAACCCGAAAAATTACCTTAATTTACTCCAAACTTTTATTTAAAATAAATAATAGGTATTAAATTTAATATCGGAATAATTATTGAATTTTAAACATGATAACTAAATAGCTTATTTTAACATTCTATTTATTAAACTAATATCAGATTGATACAGCAATTCAAACAAGTTGAGTGGATTAAAAATCGCTTTCGAATATAGTCCCACACTTGAATAAAATAACAAAACAATCCTAATCCTCTTTTAATAACGTTTCACATTCGTTTATATTAGTAATCATACAGGGCCTTTTGTAAAATACAACACAAAAAATGTATATTGTACTTGTAAACTGCTGAGGAAGTATGGTGTACAAACATAGTAAGTATTACGATGTTCATAGAAGTATGGGAAGTACATAGGAAGTATGGGAAGTACATAGGAAGTATGGGAAGTACATAGAAATTACAAGGATGTTCATAGAAGTATGGGGAGTACATAGGAAGTATGGGAAGTACATAGGAAGTGCAAGGATGTTCATAGAAGTATGGAAAGTACATAGGAAGTATGGAAAATACATAGGAAGTACAAAGACGTTCATAGAAGTATGGAAAGTACATAGGAAGTATGGGAAGTACATAGGAAATGCAAGGATATTCATAGAAGTATGGAAAGTACATAGGAAGTATGGGAAGTACAAGGATGTTCATAGAAGTATTGGGAGTACATAGGAAGTATTGGAAGTACATAGGAAGTGCAAGGATGTTCATAGAAGTATGGAAAGTACATAGGAAGTATGGGAAATACATAGGAAGTACAAAGACGTTCATAGAAGTATGGAAAGTACATAGGAAGTATGGGAAGTACAAGGATGTTCATAGAAGTATTGGGAGTACATAGGAAGTATTGGAAGTACATAGGAAGTGCAAGGATGTTCATAGAAGTATGGAAAGTACATAGGAAGTATGGGAAATACATAGGAAGTACAAAGACGTTCATAGAAGTATGGGAAATACATAGGAAGTACGGGAAGTACATAAGAAATACGTGAATTACTATATTTTTGGGAAGTAATGTTCAAAATGTTGATCAGCAGTCTTGTATGTTAATCAACGCTTTTAAATTTTTCCAATCTAGCTTTAAGTTTATTCTAAATTTGCATGTACGTAAACGTTATTAAATTCCATAATTTAATGTGGAATAATCGACGATTCCCTTTTGTCCAGTCGTAGCCTAACTTGACTGTATATTTAGTATTCATAGATTTACCCTATGTGTTTAAACGGTCTTTGATACGACAGACGCATATAAATGTATACATGCAAATTGAATGTTAATTTTAACCAACTTTGGCTAACCTGCTCTGGATAATGCATAGCCACGCGATGAGTCAACATCTCCTCTCTTCTATGAATTTTTGATACGCTTTAAAAATTATTTTAAAATATGTTTTACATACAGTGTTTTAGGTTTTTTGATGCGAAAAAAGAAACAAGTTGACTGTAATACAAATAGAAAACTATAATGAAGATGTATAGGGTCTTTTCTAACTACAGTACGAAAATTTATTTGTGGAATTGTCAGAAAGAGTTTATATTAAAATCTTAGAGTTTGGGGTTATGTTAAAATTATGCGGATGTTATTATACTTAACATCTTCAAGGTGAAGGTTAATGACAAGTGGAGAGAAAGGTTTCAGCTTAGTAGATTAGAAAGTAATCTGATGGTTTAAAATCAATAAATGTGACTATAATTGTATTAAAAATGTCATAAACAATTATTTTACTATTATTATTGATATTCCTTCGTTTAAAAAAAATATTCGTAAAACAATACTTCTACTACGAGTATTTTAATTACTAGTTTTGATTTTTTTAACATGATATCGGTTATTATACACATCAAAACATTTATTTACAAATAAAATTCCGTTTGGAAAAAATCTATTTATTAATTTAGAGTCATAAAATTCGCAGAAAATTGTTAGGATAATCCTTGCAACAAAAGGGATTTTAATGAAACAGTTACGTTCCCATTGCTAGGGGATGCGATGGAAAGGACTTAACTTACCTGATCAGCATTCATTGTCTAACACTCGAAAGTTTTAACTCCATAAAATGCTGATACATCGCATTGTTGATTATTAAGCATCAAAAATGAGGGACTTTCTAATACGGGAATTATAGACTAGTTGAAACTGTGAAATAACATGGGGGAATTGGTAAATCAAAAACATATTGAAATAGAAAATAAAGATTGCCTGAAAACTCAAAATTTAATAAAAACAATGGTGCAAAAAACGTAGTCTTGTTTGTAAGGCAAGATAATAGAATTTTTAGATTGAATTTTAAGAAAAGAAGGTTTTTGTTAAATAACTTGACTATCGTTTTAACTAGGAAGAAGTGGTTTGTATCATTAAATTCCTCTTTAAATTATCTACAAACTGGTTTTTTAAAAGTCACAGTTGAGTTGTTCGTAAGGCTAGAAAATGGGATTTTCACTCTCACTCTACTCTCACTCTCTCACTTACACTCTCTAACTTGACTATTGTTTCAACTAAGAAGAAGTGGTTTGCATCATTAAATTTCTCTTTAAATTCTCTACAAACTGGTTTTTTTAAAGTCACAGTTGAGTTGTTCGTAAGGCTAGAAAATGGGATTTTCACTCTCACTCTACTCTCACTCTCTCACTTACACTCTCTAACTTGACTATTGTTTCAACTAAGAAGAAGTGGTTTGCATCATTAAATTTCTCTTTAAATTCTCTACAAACTGGTTTTTTTAAAGTCACAGTTGAGTTGTTCGTAAGGCTAGAAAATGGGATTTTCACTCTCACTCTACTCTCATTCTCTCACTTACACTCTCTATAACTTGACTATCGGTTCAACTAGGAAAAAGTGGTTTGTATCATTAAATTCCTCTTTAAATTCTCTAGAAACTGGTTTTTTAAAAGTCACCGCTGAGTTGTTGGTAAGGCTAGAAAATGGGATTTTCACTCTCACTCCACTCTCACTTACACTCTCTATAACTTGACTATTGTTTCAACTAGAAAGAAGTGGTTTGCATCATTAAATTCCTCTTTAAATTCTCTACAAACTGATTTTTTAAAAGTCACCGCTGAGTTGTTCGTAAGGCTAGAAAATGGGATTTTCATTCTCACTCCACTCTGACTCTCTCACTTACGAGATGTTTTCTCGAAAGTCTTTAGCAAAAAAGAGAGGTCTACACGTCAATAGATTCATGAAACTTATTGAAACAAACAAAATCACTTATATCACTTTAATTTGCGCAACGTACGCAGTGACGTAACAAAGTAGGGCGGGGCATACGATCTTTGCAATCATTGATATAAAATTGTTTCAGTTGGTACAAATGACAATTTTATTTGAACAAGGATCATTTCTTGACCCTAGTACAATTTTGTATGAATACATACATGTCGTATGTATAAATACTAGAGGTTCATGTAGTTATGAGCATTTTACTTGAATGATAGTGTTTCTACAAAAAAATGGAAGCTAAAGGTACGCTGCTGGCTTCATGAAGATTTAATTGAATATTTACCGATATCAAAAAGTGCTATTAAGAAACCTTATCATCAATGTTATCAAAAGTAATAATATTTTCAAAAGGGGTAAATAACAGCATTTTTTTTTAAATATCACGATTTGTTTTTTAAATTTCTCGACGGACTTCTTTGGAAGGATCAACTGTAACTGATAAGTTTAGTGTACAATATGTTAACTTCCTTTACACCACTGTCAACAGGATCAAACTGGCTAGGTATGACTATCACATATCAAGGTAATTTTACTTAAATCGACTAGGTCCAAGGAATATGTGGTATGTTTTTGTAAAGACCTTTTACAGACACCCTGTATAATTATATTATTGTTATACTCTTCACACAGTATCTGTCTTATTAAAAATAGGGGGGTTAGATGGTTTGAAATTAAAAAAAATCATAAATCAGAAATGCAAAAAAAACGATATCAACATGAAATTTTTAGTAAAAATCAAGCTCTATAGGGAGATAAGGGGGAGGGGGGTTGAAATATTTAAAAATAATATCAAATTTTTGGAAAAAATCGAGTTCAATGAAAGGAGGAAGTCTATTGACTTGGAAAAAACTATAAATGGGAGTTAAACTGTCAAGAATACAATTTTAAGAATTGTGATAGAATTGGTCATATAAATTAAACATTTTTGTTGTTTTATTTACCAATAAGAGGTATTTAAAAATTATTTCATTCAACATATGTGACAAATTATAAAAATTATTAAATTTACAATAAAAACCTGATATATATTTAAAAATAACCTCAAAATATAAAGAAAAGTCAGTTGATTATAATTAATAATGTTTATAAATGGTTTTTAACGTATTTAAAACAAAACAAATACTACAATAACTAAAATATGATATTAATAATAATAACTACATTTAATACAAACCCAAATAAAAGAAAAACAGTGACATTGTATAAAATTATTGAAAAAAAAAAACGAACCCCTATTTCAAATTACTACAAACCGCCACTGCTACATACATAAACTTATCCCATACAAAATATTATTATTATTTTTTGATTTGCTTTCTATAGATACTAAGTTGATTCAAACCTATTTTTTTTTTTTACTTATAAATTGATATTAATTGAATTAAACTCACCAATATTTTTTACATTTGTCGAACTACTAACTCCTAATATTTGATCAATGCTGTATAGAGCTCTAGGTCTAATTTCTTCAGCCAAAACATTCGATTGTGACATCTTGAAACAACACTTTTACTACTAACAACACACTGGTCCTCTTACTGATGAATCCTTACACTTTAGACTACTAGTGCCAACTGACAGTGTGAGGTATGAGTATGGGTTATTTTGAGGGGACCGTAAAGACAACCTTTCTGCGTTTTAGCCAATCAAAGATACAGCGCGAGTCTCGGGACGGTTCTACGCATGCTTCGGGATTCTATAACCACGCCAGTTCAATTTTATTAGGTTTCGAGTTAATGAAATAGATTATGTTGCGTTTATTAATACGAGATTAAATAAAATGTAATCAGGTGTGCTATTATTACATTATCACTGTAATTATTATTTTATTGTTTGTGTATTTATTTGTAGAGTGTTATTAATAAAAATGATAAGGAAATCCTTTTGCGGATGTAATGGAAATTAGTTTATTATTATTGATGCTTTATTTAGTAAAAAAAAGCTAATCGATGAAATGAAATATTATAAAATATTAAAAAAAATATATAATGAAAAACAAGTAGGTATACAAATGTGTTCTAAACGATAGGGGGCTGTCGCCTTCCCCTGTCCCCATACGCTAGGCTATTACTAATTTTTATTCATATACAGGGTGCTGAAAATAATGGTGAAAATAGTAGCTTCTCTACTTTATTTTTAAATATTTTCAAATGTTACATTTGGAAGTTTATTATATACCCATGTATTGAGATAGTAGCATTAAATCACATCGAGTACGAGTCAAATAATTATAATATCTAAAAGTTATTAGTTCGAAAACGTTCTAGGTTTGATTTGAAGTACTTACATTAAAAGTTCTACAATATAAATACAAGGAAGTGGCAAAATTCCTTAATAGGGTAATTACCCCCCCCCCCTCCCCCCGGAGCTGCTCGAACAAATCCAGGAATTTATTAAATTGTAATCTAAAAACAACGAGATTTTAGGAGAAAGCAAAAAAAACAAAATGTACAGTATTTTTTAAATAAACGAATGATTCTTTGATAAAATTATAGTGGTTTCTCCATTGATTCATTTGTGCAGTGAACACCCAATTAAATTTTATAGAAACACATTATTTTAATATTATATAAATGATATAAAAATATAAATTTAATCTGTATTTTTTTGTACATCATTGTCCTCTGGCTGATCGTGTTTCTGTGTCACAGTATAGCTAAGTATACTGTGTCTGTGGCGTATTATAATGAGTGAGCCTAACACGAGTGAAACGATATGCCGAATGCATATAGCTAAAAAGAGAAGACAACACGCCAACAAATCCTTCAAACTGTCAAAGAACTCATTAATTGGCGCGCCGCTCACAAACAAGGTTGTCAAACCAGTGTTGCCAGTCTAGTACAATTCACACGTTCGTTTGATCTGTCTACAGTTACAGCATAATTTTGTAAATAACCATAGGAATAGAGTAAGGGTTATACAGGATGTCTGTAAAAGATTGTTTGGCAGATCTAAAAATAATAAAGTATTTTCAAGAGTACATATTTATAAATTCCTCAAATTAGAGATTGACCCTTTCTGCTTCAAGGTACATATAGTACAGGGTGTCTGTAAAAGGTCTTTACAAAAACATACCACATATTCCTTAGATCAAAATAAGTCGATTTAAGTAAAATTACCTTAGTATAAAGTTGCTTCGTCAGGGCTCCAGAGGGCCTTGAAGTTACAATTTTTAAATCATTTTTCCCATATAAATTTAAAACGGCATATGCGATTTTGCTGAAATTTGGTATATTGGTAGAATTTTATGTGTCAAAAAAAATGTTATTGAAATTTATAGAACTTGATTTTTTAAATAATTGCACTTTTAAAAATTCTACGTCAATGGCAAAAAAGGGGTTTGAGTATGAAATTTGGATTTACTACAAAAAAGTACCCTTGATAACACTCGATTTACTCTCATGGTTTTGACAAAGTTTGTATTTTAATAATTATTGTTTATGTTCTAAAATTACTAAAATGCAAATTTCGTCAAAACCATGAGAGTAATCAAGTCTTATCAAGAGTACCTTTTTTAAAGTCACTACTGCATTAAAGTTAGTTTTCATATTTGAATTTGCTTCCATACAATTATTAGATTTAGACACGGAACTTGTACATTCATATCTGTGATGATTTGAAAAGTAACCACCCTGTATATGAATAAAAATTAGTAATTTGTGCAACAAGAGTTGATATAATAACCTAGTGGCGTAGCGTATAGGAACCGGGGGGGGCGGCCCCTTGGCGTTTAGAACACATTTGGCGCCCCTTACAGAGTTTTGGGCGCCCCAAAATTTCGTCCCCTCCGTCCTTTGACCCACGTTACACCACTGTAATAACCATATCGTCTGAGTGCGATACAGACAATGACAATCCACAAATATCTATAAATTTTCAATATTATTTTAGGTTATTAAAATAAATAAAACTAATTTAAAAATAATTTATAACTTTGACCAAAGATACTTAACTCTTTAAAGGAATGTTCAATGCTTCTTGTATCATTTATAAATATATGGTCCAGGTCCAGCATTGACGTAACATAGTGAAAAGTACATACTAGTTGAAATTGGCCAGTTCTAATATAGAAGTTAATAATATTTGACTTCTACTAATTTACATAATAAAATAAACAGTCTATAATTGAATCCGGGACCTTTATGACAGCCAAATGTCATAGTTTCTGCTGTATTGCCACATATAACAATTTTGTTTTATTTGTAAATTGATTTTATATAGACGAAATAAAATTTTCATTGTTTAACGATTCTACACAAGAATAACTCATTTTTATGTATAATTACAATAACATTGACAAAATTATTTAAAACTTAAAAAAAAACTTGTGAACATCAAAAATTATATTTTACTGCAAATATAAGATTATTATTAAAATACAGTATACCTAGGTACATTGCACAATTGATTTTTTTTTTGTTTTCTATTAATAATGACGTACCTATTGTTATTATTTATTAGATATTTATATAATATATAACAAATTAAGGAAGTGATAAATATTGGGTATATTTATTATAAATTAAAAAATCATTAAGCATTCCAACTTATGGAAAATTTTGAATTTTCTGTAAATTCCAAAAGAACCATAAAAAATAATAAATTTTTTGTCATGTACCTGTAGTTTTTTAGCAATAACGTTAATCATATAAAACTGTAGAAAAAACATTCTAATCTAAAGAAGAGTAGAGTAAAAATGGAGGTAATACCTACGTCTTAATTCAGGGGTGTAGTAAAAGGGTTTTGATTTCTTTTGCCAAGAATTACATGATTTAAAGTGAAAAGGACGCAATTTTTTCCAACAACTTAATATTCATTAACGATATTTCCTTCCTCTTTTTAAGCATTTCATTAATATTATCGTATTATCATGACCAAACAATTAGTTTGAAGTGGTATACGTGTTTCTATTCAGGTTTTTTGTACAGCAGAATATTACTGTAAACCATTAACTGGTATATTTTTATCGAATTCTTATATATCTAGAGATTGAAGTTTTAATTAATTATTTATTATTATTTATATAATTAATTAAATAAATACAGTTTAATCTTGGTTATAGAAAATAGATAGTTTTATACTATTAATATTCAGAAACAGTGAGTGAGTGAATGTGTATCAAAAATACCATATTCACATCATTTTCAAATATAAGACCTATTTCTTCATGGTAGTACAAAAAAAAGTTCCTCAAGCAAAAACTTTTCCTTCTCTACTTCAATTACTTCTTCTAAAAAAAATCAATCATTTTCTAAATAAAAAATTTCTCCCTCTCGTCTTGTGTCGAATTTCTCATATAGAACAAAAAAATCGAGTTGTCGCGTCCCCCTTATACCGCTGCCGGGCCCCCATTTGAGTCCGGGCCCCAGGAATTTGTCCCGGCTACCCCCCTGGTGAGTCGAACATTAATAAACCATTAGTGCTTCTTTTATTTTACTATTTACTATTTAACTGGTAATATAATTTATCATTATATGTATTTATTTTACTATTTAACTGGTAATACATAATACATAGGTACTAATAATAAACTAATAACAAAATAACTAATATTACTAGTACGTATTTGTTCATAGCTATATTCCTACCTACCAAACGAAGGTGTTTGAAAAATAAACATAAACTTTTATCCAGCCACAACGGCATGTCACGTAAGATTTAAAAATAGTTAATAATAACAACAAAAAAGTAACGCACTATCATGAACATAAACATTGAAAAATAAAAAAGCACGTTCAATGAGAAGGCTGACACTCAGACTCATCGATAATTTTTTTAATATTTGCAGTATAATTTGATACAGCCATTCGAATACAATTATCCAAATGTTCATCTGTAAGTCGATTGTGATATTTGTTCTTAATAAACTTCATATTGGAAAAAGAAGATTCACACAAATAGGTTGAACTGAATAATGCTTTCACTTTCAAGGCCTCACGGCGTATTTGTCTTTACTTACAATAGGCCAGATGTTTTGGTACTTGAGACTAACGATTTTGAGGCTAAATCATTTTGAAACTCAATTACTTCCATTTCTGTTGCAGCGATGTCTTCGCCAAAGTTCTGCATAACACAAGTTGCAAACTGTTGGATATCAATTTCCATAAAGGGTGAAACAACAAACTGCTCTACTAAAGCCATTTCGTTGAAATCCTTAAAACGATTTTTGAAGTTATTCTTCAGGGTAGAAACTATTTCTACATGATATTTGCTGTCATAGGGTTCTAATGGATTTTGAGATATTTTTTCTGAAAGAATAGGAAAATGGTTGGTATCGCTGTTAATTAGGTTTTGTTCCCGAAACTCCAGCTTTTTGATAAATGCTTTTATATCAGAAACCAAAATCTCTAAGCCAGATTGAATTTTCTAGTTCCGGAGTCGGTTCATCGCGTTGTTTGAAAAATTGAACTATGCCAGATAGGATATCATTAAAACGTTTCAGCACCCGTCCTCTACTTAACCATCGGAATTCAGAGTGAAGGAGTCGGTCCTTGTATTGACAGTCAACTTCATCGGCCAAGGTTTTGAATAATCTTCTTTGTAACGCTTGAGCTCTAATCTTGTTCACAA